AGTTGACATAAAATAATGTTGGTTAATAAATACTACAAATGGTGACAGTCAAGGATTTGCAGAAGGAAGATGAATAAAAGCATAAAAGATGACAGAAATATATTTTTAAATCTATAGTCATTTGTTTGCAATTTCCTATGAATCTATAATTATTTCAAAATAAAAAGTTTTTAAAGTATCAGTGGTCATAATATTTGGAACTGTATCCAAATTCTCCAGTTAAAAGAATAACAATGCCAACTTAGAACTTAAAAATAAAGAAAAGGAGAATATGGAGATTTACCAGGGGCCTATGTAAAATACAAGAAAAAGGTGAAAGCAAAAGTATAGAAAAACATAAAACTAGGCAGCTAGAAACTAAACGAAAGCAGGTACTCAGCTAAAAAGCCCACGACATCATCCGACTCATAGTGGCCCTATAGGACAGCATCTTCCTCCTGTGAGCAGCTGGTGAGTTCAAACTGCTGACCTTGTGGTTAGCAGCCCAAGACATAACCCGGTACACGACCAGGGCTCCTTAAGGCAGGAACACTATTAATATTAGGTGTGGAAAGCTGTAAGGTGAATAATGTTGGTTAATTATTGGTTAACCAGTAATATTGGTTAATTAATGAAAAGCATTAATATAGATAAAGAGGACCACAACTTAATGATAAAACCATCACATTGATTCTAACTCAGAGACTCTATGTGATCAAGTAAAACTGCAGCTCTTTATAGAAGCCGGCTGCCACATCCTTTCTCCCATAGAACTGCTGGTAAAGTTGGGCCATCATTGACTTTCTGGTTCGCATCTCAGTGCTTTAACCAGTACACCACTAGGGCTCCACCAATGTGATGCTAAAAAGCAAAATTCACCAAGACGCTAGAGAAATCCAAATCCTGTACGTCCTGGAAAATAGCTGGAAAGGCCAGCATGTTTGGCAAAGCCTAGAAGCTCAAAGCTCTCAATGAGATGGATCGACCTGAGAGTGGATTCGTTCACTGCAGAGCTCAGGAAGCAGGTTCAGAGGGGCGGTTTCCCGTGCTCTTCTACATAACAGCCAGGGGTCTGGCCGCAGCAGTGGCGGCAACAACCTGTCCTCGGAAAAGAAAAGTGAACTACACGTATAAATTGAGTCCACTAAAAAAATGATTATGGTTTTCTAGGGCAGATGCAAATTACAGAAATTAATAATTCTGGTAGTAAAATTTCCCCTAGTTCATCTATACAATGATACACACCTCCCTTTGCCATGATAAATGGGGAAAAGATTATAGTTCTTAAGGATCTCGTTTCTCTTGGCTCCACAATCAATGCTCATGGAAGCAGCAGTCAAGCAATCAAACACCTGAAAGAGCAAAGCTGTGCCTCCTATGCTTCCGACAGCTGGACAAAGGGCAGGGAAAGACACAGGAGAGCGGATGCAATTGAGTTCTGGTGTTCATGAGGAAACCCAACTTGCCTTCCATGTTTGCTGACTACCACAGTGCCTGGGATTGGTTCAACCGTTCCTGCCTGGCAGTGAGCTGTCTCCCTGGGCCAGGCCAGGGCACACACGAGCTTTAAACTCCTGGCTCTCTGTAACTCTCCTCCTTTCCCCTGGGTTTGTCAAAAACTTCATGTAAACTTTGGAAGAATCTGGTAAGCAGAAAACTTTTGTTTTCTCTCAGGTCATGTTCTAGTAAACCTACTCTTTATACTTGAATTTTCATCTGTTCTTCTATAAACCTTCATTTTTGAAATTTCTTCTTTTTTTTAAATCATTTTATTAGGGGCTCATACAACTCTTATCACAATCTATACATACATCAATTGTGTAAAGCACATTTGTACATTCATT